CGCCAAAGGTTTAGTTCGGGTGTTCGGTGTAGAGATTTAGAGTTGAAGAAAGTGAACGGGTTATTCTCAATATTTTCTCCGTGAGGATGTTATGTGAATTTCTAATAAGGGTAAAGTATGTGTAGTCACATTATACTTTATGAAATCATGAAGGGAATATGCCAAACTATGAGTATGATGTCTCCCTATTATTGTTCTCCGTGTACCAGTGTTTCAAGTGTCTATGTCTAAGAAGGTGAAGTTAATGGATAATTGGATTATGAGGAGCCACTATTTGCTATCCTTGTTAGAAAAGTCTGGGAGTTGAGATTGCCTCCGTTATGTGTTATGGCGAAGTCGGTAAGTCGAGGAGGCCACCTTGAGGGCCAAAAATGTTAAGGAAATAAAATGTTCTCACTTGAGTGTATAGTCAAATTATTGTGATTTGAAATGTACTTTTTATGTGTTATGATTTAAATATGTGCAACTCATGTCCAGATATCATTCTTGATAATATAATGCCTGTAATGATGAGATTTGTGATGTTGATATACTTGGTGATGCTTTGTCAAGTTGTGGATGTGTTGATAGGTTGATGTTGGTGATTATCTGATAGGTGGATAGGCCCAGTTACAGAAAAAACTCTGCTGAAATATTTATGAATTTGTAAAGATAGCCACATTTTAAGGGCCACAAGTAAGTTGAAATTTTGGAAAGAAAGTATGAGATCGATGTAGTCATAAGTGCCTATGTATAATAGTTGGAGGTAGAAGGATAACTCTATTCTTAGAAGTGACTTGCAAAACATTCGAGGACGAATGTTCTTAAGTGTGGGAGAATGTAACACCCCGAAAAATTTCGAAGTACTTGAGCGCTAGTAAGAAAGTTGATGTGCGCTCATTATATTATTTTGTGTGCAGACAAGGACTATTAGTATAATGGATATCAATTGGATATGATAATAAGTGTACAAGGCATATTATAAGTGATGTGGGGTCTAAGGAGAGCCCTAAGTCCAAGTCAAGATGGAAATTTCAAGATAGACTAAAGTTCCAAATGAGTATGCACAAGATCAAACTTTGGGCGAGCATATATACATATATATAATTAGTTATGTGATGTATGACCTAAAAAATTAAAGGTTTTCGAGTCTAGTTTCTAACTCTTTAAACAGTTCGTCATTTGGACATTCCTACAAAAAGTTATGATCAAATTACCAAAGGATGGCAGAGGAGTCTGCGAATGCGAAGCATCCGAGGCTGTGTCTGAAAGAAAGGCTGGCAGTGAAGTGCTGCCATAGCATCCAGGTCCGCATCCTAACTTCAAAGAGGAGTGAAGTGGGGATGCGAAGCATCTAGGGCAGCATCTGAAACCCAGAAATCTGGGCATATAAATACAATACAATTTCGGGGTTCATTTTTCCTATTTCATTTGGACGAATTTTGGAGCTCTTCTCCACTCTCTCAAGACCACCAACTCCCCTCTTCTTCAAGGTAAGCAATCCCCATTATTTTGGTGTGAAATTACATCATTTCTACACTAGTATTAATTAAATCTAGACATAAAATACATAGATCTTCAAGAAATATTTTCAAGAACTCAAAGGAGGGTTTTGCAAGATTTCTTCCAAAAGGTAATTCTACACCCTTAGACTTACATGTATGGATATATTATGGGAATATGAGTATGAATTAAGTATAGGAACTTATGATATGGTGATTGGAAGCCATAAGTTCCCAATTTAAATACATAACCATTGTAGAGATTGAAAGGTGATTATTTGATGGAATTTTGTTAGTTGGATGAGAATGCTTGGTCACACATGTGATGTTAGGATTATAAGTTGTTAAAGAATGATGGTGGGATAAATTATTGGTAAATAATAGTAGTTGGAAGAACTAATTCTATGGTTAAGAAATGTATAAATGTATGCCCACTAGGTGTTTGGTAAATTGTCTAAATGGCCTAAACTATGGAATTGATTACTTATGTTGGTCCCAATGGATGTTGATATTGTAGATTGAAGTTGCTTAGTATAGTAGATCATTGTAGTATCATTAAGGGGTGAATTTTAGTTTCGGATCGTTGGCATTGAATTGAGGAGACAAGAAGGCACTCAGAGGTGGATACACGCGGAATGGAATTTTTTGAGTATTGATTAGCTTGCTCGACGTTGGGTTCGTCTTGTTTAGGTAAGTAACACTTCTAAACTTGGAGCTAAGGGTATGAACCCTGAATATACGTGTTATGTGATTTGGTTATGAACCCTGAATATACGTGTTATGTGATTTGGTTGGAGGTGACGCACATGTTAGGTGACGGGCGTGTGGGCGTGCACCGTTGAAATTATGACGTAATTGATTCCGTGGAATTTTATAGTCAACTAATCTTGGAATTTTCCTTGTATTGTCATATGTTAAAGGAATTTGAGCTGAGAATCGTGTTAAAATCATGCTGAGACTATATGCTAGTATTATTGAGACCCACAGAGGTCATATTGTTGTTGAATTTGTTTAAATTGAAATTTGAAACTCAGTCATGTTCATTCATTTATATCATATCTCAGTCTCTGTTATTATTTATTGATACATCACATCATCATTTTTGGGCTGATTTTCATGATATTTTAGAGCTCGAGAGACTGGAGAGATTGATGACTAAGTGAGGCCGAGGGCNTATATATATATATATTGATTTATGATGGGATCGGGCTGCACGCCGCAACATGTTTCATTGATTTGTGCCATAATTGGTTTGTTATAGTACTTGGGCTGAAGGAGCCTCTCCGGAGTATGTACACACCCCCAGTGAGTGCAGGTACCTACTAAGTGCGAGCGCGAGTGCCGGGTGATTTGGGAGAATTGAGTGACTGTGAGGATTGAGTGATTGTGAGGACTGAGTGACTGTGAGGATTGAGTGACTGGGAGGACTGAGTGACTGAGAGGATTGAGTGACTGGGAGGACTGAGTGACTGAGAGGATTGAGTGACTGGGTGGACTGAGTGAATTGATACTCTGAAAGTATACATATGGTTTTATCACTATGTTATATTGCATTGGCATGCACATTGACATGTAGCCATAGAGATGTACTTTCTTCGTGCCATTTGAAAATGAAATTTCCTATTGTGGAAGAAAGTTTTTGGGAAAAAATACAGTTTTCAGACTTACTTATATTTTGGTGATTTCAGTGAAAAGAATTGAGTTTTACTATTATACTTGAAAAGAAAATGTTTATTTTTCCGGAATTATGAACGGGCTGAGCATCTTATTATTTAGTTATTCTTTATGTTGCCTCAATTTTATTATTATGAGATGTTATTGGATATGGGTGTGGACTGTGACCATGGTATAAGCTCGTCACTACTTTCAACCTAAGGTTAGGTTTGTTACTTATTGAGCACATGAGGTCGGTTGTACTCATACTGCACTTCTGCACCTTGCGTGCAGATTTTGGATGCTGATGTTGTTGTGCATGGCGGGAGCTAACATTGAAGATGTACCTGTGATCTAGTCACGACTGCCACTTGTTCTTGGCAGCTTTAGAATTATTAATCTGTTCGTGTATAATTCAAATAGATGATGTATTTTATTTCACACTAGCTTTGTAAATTCAAATCCTAAAAGCTCATGATTTGTACTACCAGTCCTTGGGGAGTGTATTAGAGTCATTTAAATATTAATTGAATCCTATTGTTGTTATTTGACTTACCTAGCAGGTGAGGTTAGGTGCTATCACGGCTAGTCGGATTTTGGGTCGTGACAGAGACAAATCTTTTAAATGCTGAAAATCTATATGGTTACACTAACATAATACTTTGAAATTGCACAAACCATTAATCTCTTAATATATAAAATTTAAACTTAAATACTACGTCAATGTATAAGACTTTGATATCCAAAACTAAAAACTACGACAAAAATAAAAATGAAGACACAAAAACAATTACAATAAAAGTTAAGATGTCATTGTTTTATTATTGCTTTTTATAGAATTCTAAACCACATTATTTCTCTTTAATTCATATACACAACCTTAACCCAAAGCATTAACTCAATTGCGAAAAATAGGAACAATAAAGAGAACTAATTATACCTTTGGAGATCTTTACTTCTTTCTACAACAATACGAATAATGAATATTGTGGAACAATGACGTCTTTTATAGGAATAACTTATTTATTCTTTTTTTATATGGATTCATGCAATAAATCTAAATCACATACCAACTGGAGAAGAATAACTAAACGAAGCATATTGTTGTTTAAAAAAAGGTGACTACTGTATGAAATATATTGTTGTCGAAGAATAAGTTGGCGCAAACTGTCCAAGAAGGAGTAGGCTACCAAAAAGAAGTAGGCGGTGAGGAGAGTCCAATTTATGGAATACCATGAGCAGATTTTATGGAATACAAAGTTTGGCTCCTCGCCGTCTTTAGTTTATGGAATACCATAAGCGTATTAACCATTTGTAGACTAAACAAGAAAAAAATTAAACATATTTGTAGAAAAATACAAGTAGCTGGCTACCAAGAAGAAGTAGTCGACAAGGAGTAGAGTCCAAAATGAAGGAGTTCGAAGAAGAATAAAGAATTTGACTCAAAAGCTACTTCATACGATCGACTTTTTAGACCCAGCATAGGTGTAGTTTGAATGGAAAAGAAATCTAACCTTAGGATATTTATAATTATATCCTTAAATTATATAAATATTGAAGGTCATAAAAGTCGATCAATATTTCGGGAATATTTTTGTCGTTCAACATTTAACATAAATTATTCGTGTGTATATATATATATATTTGCTGAAAGTATATTTAATTTCTTTTGTATGTTTATTGCTAGAGTATTTAAGTTTTATCTACAAAATTGGCCAATTTTAAGGGCTAAATTTTATTCGTTTTTTTAAAAAAACAATTATACGCATAACGATACAAATCTACTAGACAGACAAGACAAGACCTAGGGAGATTAAAAGAAAAACTCTGAGCCCACATCAAATAAATTGTTTATTTTTACAAGACTGGAACACAGAAAGTGAAAATAAACCCTGTAAAAACCCCATTCAACTTTCCCATTCGCCATTCCCGTTCATACAATGGGTGTAGAGAAGAGAATTACAGCAACTGTGAGGGTCTCAAACATTCCTCAAACAGCCATAGCCAAACAACTCTTCGACTTCTTCGAGTCTTCAATTGGGAAAGGATCAGTCTTTGCTTGCGATATTTTCTCAGAGCACAAGAATTGGAAATCAAGAGGTCATGGTCGAGTCCAATTCGAAACAGCGCAATCCAAGTTACAATCTTTATCACTATCTGAACAAGGGAAGCTCGTCTTTAAAGGGCACCAACTCATTCTAACCTCGTCTTTTGATGATATTATTGCCAGGCCAATTGAGCCCAACTACAGGTTTCAAAAGGGAATCTTGCATACTGGGGTACTGTTAAAGAATGATTACATGGAAGTTTTGGAGACTTGGGAAAATGTGAAGACGTTGATCATGCCTGAAAGAAAGAGTCTTGAGTTCTGGGTTAGTCATGCAAAGGGGGAATGTTATAGGTTGGAGGTCCAGTTTGGCGACATTATAGAGACTTGTGGGTGCTCTTTGGAAGATGAAAAACCTGCACTCCTTTTAAAGGTTGATTTTTCTGTTACCCATCTTGAAAATTTTAGTTATTTTTACATCCTTTTAATTTATATTGATTTTAGGGCTTGCCAAGAGCTAAGGTGGCCACTGACAAGTGCTGGGAGCTCAGTGCTTTTTCAATATTGTGTATGTTTTTGTGTATCTCAGTTAGTGGCAGAGCCGCAGCAAATGAAGGGGGTTCAATTGAATCCCCTTTGCTGAAAAATTGTACTGCATAAATAGGGCATAAACAATTCTTCTATATATAAAAACTTATGAATCCCCTCGACATAAGGGAAGTCTTCATTGTAGTGGCAAAGGTAGTACAAAAATTGCTATAGCTCGCATGTTTGAATATTTTGAATCCCCTTATTAAAATTCCTGGCTCCACCATTGTGTGTTTATAACTTTATATTAGACTTCCTATAATAGTGATACACTCTCGAGGGTTGAAGAAAATATGAATTGAAGACTAAGAGCTATTTATAGCTCTGCAAATGGATTTACAATGCTTTAAGTAAGAAGAAAGAGGGGATCAGAACGAGCCCAAAGCACACAATCTCACTATTCACAGGGATGGAGTCTTAATAAAAAAAATTATCAACGGGATTTATGCATAATAATAGAAACTACTAATGTAAAAGAATCCAGGAGTTCTATGGTGTTAACTCCCAAAACTTATAACCAACTGAGTTTTCTTAATTAACCAATGGTTACATGCTTCTGCTAGCTGAACGTACAACCCGTGCAAGCTAGTCAAAACCTCCCTCTTCCACTTCCATTTTAAAGCTGTATCAATTTTTCCATAAGCACATTTTATGATTTAGTAAGGATGCTAGGGCTAACCTTTATAAAGTGGCCTATAAAGGTTAGCCCTTGAAGTTCCTCTTCTTCCTCACTTGCAGTTGCAGTTGCACGTTTTCTTTTTTTGAAAATATCCAATTCGAAGGAGAAGAATACTCTTGGTTGTGTATGCAACTAAAAGTCAGTCATAAGTTAAAATAAGCTTCAAAGTCTGCAGATCGTGAGCTGCGCGAGCATTGGGGAAGATATGATTTAAGAGCGTGCTGGGAAAACATAGTACTCCGTATGGTTTTGCGTCTTGCACTATATAAAAGACATTTTAGACTTTTATTATATAGCAAGTCAAGGATATAATATAGAGAGTCAGGTAGAACTTAGATAGAAGAATCAGTACTGTGCAAGAGCATTCTTCTGCTGTATTGAATTAAATCAGATATCTTTTTGATTTCTTATGAAACTTGTTTTACAGAATCATACAGTTTACACAGTCTGTATGGTTTCTGAATAGTTAGCTGATCCTACCAAAAGTCTGTGGCAGGCCTAGTGAACAAGGGGGGTTCCGAAGTACTTGGATACAGTTTCAGTAAAAGTCTTAATAATAATTTTGGGGCTAATAAGGCTATTTTCATGGCAGGGTAAATTAGACGGGATTGTGCATCTGTCGTGGATGCTTCTGTCACCATTTGTTCTAAGAACACATTTTTTTGGTCTAAGAAAACATTTATTATGCATTGACTAGTCTCTGAGTTTAATTTCTTTCACTATTCATTGTCTTATGTAGAGAACAGCATAAAGGGATAACAGTTCTTTTATTGATGTATTTGGTACATGCAATGGAAAATAACAATAGATAACATCCTATCCGAGAGATTACTTTATGAAAAAAATACACCTATGGCATAACCTTAAAAAGAGAAACAAAAATCCCGAAGCAAACCAAAAAGAAAAAGTGAAAATCCTCTGAAGGGAAATGGAGAAACATTATGCGGTAATGAAATCTTGGCATTGGTGAATTTTAGATTCTTCAACCTTTATTTCTGAGGCAAAGCCAATTTCTTTGATTTTCATTTCAGTGAGTTTTTGCTTTCAGCTAAAACATGCACCAAAGCTATACCAAAGAGTTTCTGGACCCGGTGTTGCTTCAAAGTTCAGTTCTGACCGGTACCATGTTTGCAAGGAGGATTGTGAGTTCCTTTGGGTTCGCACAACTGATTTTTCTGCCATGAAGTCTATCGGATGTTCATCCTCTCTTTGTTGGGAAATCGAAGACGGATTGTTAAGTTCAGATTTGCTTTCTAGTTTGCCATATTGTAACAACGATGTGATGGATCTTGTTCTGGATGAAGTAGGAGATATTTATTCTGCTTCTGAATTAGTTCCTCTTGCAAGTTTCCCATCAGATCTGAAGCTACCATATGAGATCCTTTTCCAGCTTAACTCTCTCGTACACACACATAAAATTAGTCTTGGTGCTGTTAAAACTGATCTTATTGAAGTTCTTAGCAAATTAGAATTGGACACTGCAATGATGATCCTTCAGAAAATGCATAAGTTGCAGTCAAGCTGTTTCGAGCCTGTGCCATTCATCAAGACACGCCTGCATGTATTGGGTAAAAACAGTAAGAACCAACCTTCATCATCTTACAGCAGGTTAGTGAATCAAAACATGATGAGTGTTCACAGAGTCTTGGTAACACCATCAAAGGTTTACTGCCTGGGCCCAGAGCTTGAAACCTCCAATTACATCGTGAAGAACTTTGCATCACATGCTTCTGATTTCTTGAGAGTAACTTTTGTAGAAGAGGATTGGAGTAAACTTTCTCCTAATGCCATTTCTATAAGTGTTGAACAAGGTATCTTTGCAAAGCCTTACAGAACTAAAATCTATCATCGGATTTTGTCTATCCTTCGAGATGGACTTGTTATTGGAACTAAAAGATTTCTTTTCCTGGCGTTCTCGGCTAGTCAGCTACGTTCAAATTCAGTTTGGATGTTTGCTTCCAATGAGTATGTCAAGGCAGAAGATATCAGAGAGTGGATGGGCTACTTCAACAAGATTCGTAGTGTCTCGAAATGTGCTGCAAGGATGGGTCAGTTGTTTAGCACCTCTTTTCAAACAATGGAAGTCCAATCGCCGCATGTTGAGATTCTTCCAGATATTGAAGTAACCTCTGATGGCGTTAGTTATTGCTTCTCAGATGGCATTGGAAAGATTTCTCAAGCTTTTGCCAGTCAAGTTGCTCAGAAATGTGGATTGAGTTATACCCCATCAGCATTTCAAATACGATATGGTGGTTATAAAGGCGTGATAGCTGTTGACCGCAATTCCTATCGAAAGCTATCTCTACGTGGCAGTATGCTCAAATTTGAATCTAAGAACAAGATGCTTAATATTACCAAGTGGAGTGATGCCATGCCTTGCTATCTGAACCGGGAGATTGTTATCCTCTTAGCTACGTTGGGAGTGGAGGATAAAGTATTAGAAGACCTGCTAGATAATCATCTCCATCTTCTGGGCAAGATGTTGACCACTAATGAGGCGGCCTTAGACGTTTTGGAGAGCATAGGTGGGGGTGACGTAAAAAGAATCTTAATGAGGATGTTG